TTATTTGACAAAGATACTTTGAAATCATTTCAACAATTACAAGATAAGTTTGGTTTGTCATCTAGGGAATTTTATCGTTATTTACAATTAAGAAATTATATACAAACAGAACATCGATATGAGGAATTAAAAAGGTTGCCATCTCCGATAGAACTATATCTAATTAAGATTATAGAAGAAAAATGTAAAACTAAACTTGTATCCAAATTGTATTGTCTGTTGCAATCAGATTTGTCAGATAACTCATTTGATATAAAAGGAAAATGGGAGCTAGAAGCAAATATAAGTATTGCAGATGAAGATTGGATTCAGGCTTGTGAGAATGTACATAAAATAACTAAAAGTCCGGTCTGGAAGGAATTTGGTTGGAAGGTCATGATGCGCTTTTTTAGAACCCCCTCGGTGACATCCAACTTCAGTGGCACTAGCTCGAATCTATGTTGGAGGAATTGTAATCTCATTGGAGATCATACGCATACGTTTTGGGACTGCCCTTCCCTGAGTATATATTGGAACGGTATTCTATCGGAGATTGGAACTATAGTTGGGAGAAAAATGTTTAAAGATGCCACACATGGTTTCCTGGCAACATTTAAGGGGCATGGACTAGGAAAGTACAAGACTAGACTTAATCAGATCCTTTTACTGGTTGCAAGGAAAACAATAACAAAGTCCTGGTTAAAGGCTCCACCTCCAACTATTATTCAGTGGCAAGAAAACCTGAAAAGAGTATATATAATGGAGAAAATAACAGCCCAATTACATCTTACTTTGGATAAGTTTAACAACATGTGGGCTCCTGTAGTAAAACATTTTAGATGGTCAAGCAACTGACAGTAGAAGGATGTGGATATACCGCTTGGACTATTTTTTGTTGTTTTGTTTATCCTGCATAGAGATCCTCTTCTGGGATTCAATGTGTAAACTATTTCATTATTTTATCTTACTTATTTATTTTTCATATAACACTTCATACTGAAAGCATATCTTTTTTATACTGTAAAAATGTGAATTTGCTGAGATGCCAACTGTTCTGTACGTTGTTATTTATGTACATTGTAAGTTGAACAATTTGAAATAAAATATGTTCAAAAAAAAAGGATGAAGGAAGTACTTTACTTGAGGAAGTAAATTCAGCAGCTTTTTACCGCCTAAAAAACATTGCCAAAAACATAGTGTCTAAAGCAGACTTGGAGATTCTTATCCATGCATTTGTCTCCAGTAGGTTAGACTACTGCAATGGCCTGCTCACAGGTCTGTCCAAACAGGCTGTAAAACAGCTGCAGTACATTCAAAATGCAGCAGCTCGAGTCCTGACTAGAACCAGGAAGTACGACCATATTAGTCCTGACAAGAACCAGGAAGTACGACCACATTAGTCCGGTCCTCAGGTCTCTGCACTGGCTTCCTGTGGCTCAGAGAATAGACTTTAAAACAGCTCTGCTTGTTACAAATCTCTCCATGGCCTCGCACCAAAATATATTAGTGACATGTTAGTCCCATATGAACCAGCCCGGACTCTGAGGAGCACAGGGACTGGACTCCTGCTGGGACAGAGCCGAGGACGCTGAGAATCGGAGTCGTGCTTCCAACCTCCGCTTTCTTCATGTCCCCGAGGGAGTTGAAGGCCATGATATGCTGGGCTTCGTGGAATCATTCATCATCCAACTCCTGGGCAGTTCCAACTTTCCATCACCACCATCGATTGAACGGGCCCACCGTACTCCAGGAGGTCCACCGAAGCAGGATCCGAAGGCTGGCCCGAGACCCATACTTGTGAGGTTTCTCCGTTTCCAGGATAAAATAAAGATCCTCCGACTCTCCCGGGAGAAGCAACAACTGGTCTTCAGAGGCTCCAGGATCTACATCTACCCGGACTTCAGTGCCGGACTTTTGCAGAAACGCCGCTTATTCAACTCCGTGAAGAAAAAGCTCCGGGACTTGGACATTCGTTACGCGATGCTTTACCCAGCAGTGCTCAAAGTCCACGTTGACGGTAAATCAGTTCTGTGTAAATCTCCTGATGAAGTGGAAGCACTGGGTATTCTAAAGTCTTGACTTTTTGCCAGTATGTGATCACTCCGTTTTGTTTGCCGTAAATGAAGGTGCTTTCCGGCATGACGTAACTAGACTGTAAATTGAGACGCGCGTCTTTATTTATTATTATTATTTTCTTTTTTAGTAGGGCTTCATGTTCCAACCTACAAAGGACAAGTATTAGTTTCATTGTTTGATTGCTATTACTATTATTAAATTTGTAATACATATAATGTATTTATTTTATATTGCCCTGTACTATGTTACAATTATGACTATTGCAACTTAAATATAGTCCTTTTGTTAACTAAACAGCAGACTGAGACACTTCGGTTTTTGTGATGCTTCTTTTATATGTGTGTGTGTATGTGTGTGTGTGCTCTTATGTGTATGTTTATATGTATGTTTACAGGCTCTCTTGTCACTCTATTCTCCATCACGTCCCCTTTCTACCCCAAACGGACCATGGTTAACTTATCCTCGGAATACCCCATATGGGTAAAGGTCTCTTTATAGTTCATCTGAATATCAGAAGTCTCTTTCCTACAATCGATCTCCTGAGAGCATGGCTTGCATACAACAGCCCTTGTATTATCACACTCTCAGAGACTTGGCTTTCTAAGAATATTTCTGACGACGACATTAGGCTAGATAACTACAAACTGTATAGAACTGACAGAGGGTCTAGAGGTGGTGGTGTTGCAACATATGTTTCTTCTCATCTTAAGTCACAACTTGTTTCTGTTGACTCTCCTGTGCACTTCGAAGCTCTATTTATCAAGATTTTTCTCCATGATAACAAACATATGATTGTGGGAAATATATATAGACCTCCAAATTCTCCCAAATCTGAATCTGTTAATAATATTCTGTCTACTGTATCCTCCCTGATGAGTAATTGTGAGCTGGTCCTTATGGGTGATTTTAATATTAACTGGCTTGACTCTTCCACATTTGGTGAACAGAACTTGTTTAATGGCATAAATTTGACACAACTTATTACTGAACCTACTAGAGTTACTTCTACTTCTAAATCCCTGTTGGATTGGGCTCTTGTCTCTCACCCCAATAGAATAAAAGAGTCTGGAATTCTTCCAGACTGTTTTAGCGATCACTGTATGATTTACTGTAAATGGAAAATTTCAAAACCTCTACTTCCTCCAAAATTGATTAAGATACGACAGTTCAAAACATTTAATACAGATAGTTTCTGACTTACAATTAATCAACTGGAATAGACTTGACTTGATCCCAAACATAGATGATGCCTGGAACTTTTTCTATTCCGAACTTGTGAGAGTTGATGATAAACATGCTCCGTGGACCATAATCAGAGTGAAAGGATCACATCTACCTTGGATTGATGGGGAGCTAATTAATCTGTTCAAACTGAGAGACAGGGCATGGAGTACATTCCACCATACTAAACTTCCTGCTGACTGGGAAAAGTACAGACAGTTGAGAAATGTTTGTACCACCAAAACTAGAAACTCCAGGGCTAACTACTATAGAAACAGTTTGACCAACAATTTTAAAAATCCAAAACAGTTCTGGAAACAAATGAATAGTGTGCTTGGGAAATCCAGTACGACCACGAACAATATGATTATTAACAATGAGGTCTCCAATGACCCTTCCACTATAGCCAATGCCTTCAGCTTGCACTTTTCACAAACGCCACAGGTCCATCCCCCCTTTCATCAAGTTGTTCCGGATCGCCAGCCGTGCAACAGTTCATTCTCTTTCACCGAGGTTAGTCCTGTTGATGTACTTAAGGTTTTAAGTTAACTTTCTTTCAACAGCAATGCTGGACCTGATGGTATTGAGAGCAAATTTCTTAAAATAGGTGCACATGTCCTGGCTTCTCCACTAGCCTCACTTTTTAATTTATCTCTTTCCAGCTGTAATGTCCCTCAACCATGGAAATGTGCAAAAGTAATACCCTTACATAAATCAGGTTCCACTGACAGCATCAATAACTACAGACCCATTTCCATTATCAACAGTATTGTCAAAATATTTGAGAAATTAATTTTTATTCAACTTTCAACCTATCTCACCAATAACAACCTATTATCCCAATCTCAATCAGGATTTAGAAAGCATTTCAGTACATCTACTGCCCTCCTGAAATTTACAAATGATGTGTTTTCTAGTTTTGACAAAAGTATGTTCACTGGTGCATTATTTCTTGATTTGACGAAAGCTTTTGACTTGTTTGACCATTATTTACTTTTGGACAAACTCCACAGCATTGGCCTCTCCAGACCAGCACTTCTCTGGTTCAACTCCGCCCTTCACTCTCGTCGCCAGTGTGTTTCCTTTGGGGGCAGCCAGTCCAACTTCACAGTCATTGAAAAAGGCATTCCACAAGGCTCCTCACTTGGTCCTCTTCTCTTCTCTATCTTTATTAATGATCTCCCGACTATCTGTTCCAACTGCACTATTGAACTTTATGCTGATGACACTGTTATTTACTGTTCCAATTCTAATATCCCTGACATCTGCAACTCTCTACAACACAACTTTGACATTGTTCAACACTGGCTCCTTTCTAACAAACTTCTGCTCAACAAAACCAAATCCTACTCCATGCTTTTCAAGAAGACCAATAAACCTCTCCCTGATTTAAATCTCCACTTTCTAGATCTGTCCCCAGTCAAATGTGTGGACAACCTTAAGTATCTTGGTCTTTGGCTAGACTCAAATCTTTCTTTCAATACCCATATTCACAAAACTGTACACAAAATTAACTATTCACTGAAAACACTTTATCAATCCATTGACTGTTTTAATTTATCTGCACGGAAAAGGATTATTTCACAACTACTACTTCCCATATTAGACTATGCAGACATAGTTTATCAAATACCACCTCCACTTCTCTCCATCCTCTGAGCACTGCCTACAACAGCCTGTGCAGGTTCATCCTGCGCTGCCCCTACAGGACACATCACTGTGACATGTACCAGCAGCTGTCCTACAGACAGACCTACAGACAGACCTACAGACAGGCCTACAGACAGACCTACAGACAGGCCTACACACAGACCTACAGACAGACGTACACACAGACCTACAGACAGACCTACAGACAGACCTACAGGACACATCACTGTGACATGTACCAGCAGCTGTCCTACAGACAGACCTACAGACAGACCTACAGACAGGCCTACACACAGACCTACAGACAGACCTACAGACAGGCCTACAGACAGGCCTACAGACAGGCCTACAGAACCCATCACTGTGACATGTACCAGCAGCTGTCCTACAGACAGGCCTACAGACAGGCCTACAGACAGACCTACAGACAGACCTACAGGACCCATCACTGTGGCACCAGCAGCTGTCCTGGTTCTCTCTGTCCCAAAGACGTCACTCTCACTGGTTGTTTTTCATTTATAAATGTTATTTTTTGGATTACCCTCTTTATTTAAAGCAATATTTAACCCCTTTTAATTCCTCTTATAATCTTCGTCACACAAACCAGCTTTTCTTTCACACTCCTCGTGTGAAGAAAGAACTTGTCAAATATGCTTTCCAATATAAAGCCCCAAACGACTGGAATCTCCTTCCGGCCTCTATTCGCTCTTTAACTTCTTTTTCTCTTTTTAAAGTTGCTGTACAAAGGCATCTGTGTAATGTTTGTAACTGCTACTGAACTTTCTTTTAAATATTATATCCTTTGGTTTTCACTGTCCTAGTTTGAGGAGTAGGGTGACCTCTGACCTCTGAGAGCTCTGTGTGTGTGTGTGTGTGTGTGTGTGTGTGTGTGTGTGTGTGTGTGTGTGTGAGCGAATGTTTCTGTCCTTGTATTGTTTTTGTTAGTTTTTTTTGTCTGTTATTTTATTGAATTTATTTACTGTAATTTGTTATGTTTTTTATTTTGTTACACTTTACTGTAACTGCATTTATTTGACAACCACTGCTGCTACTTGTGTTGCTATTTTTGAGGACCCTCCTGAAAACGAGATGATGCATCTCAAGAGGCTATTCCTCGTAATAAAGATATGTTAAAGCACAGGGACTGGACTCCTGCTGGGACTCTGAGGAGCACAGGGACTGGACTCCTGCTGGGACTCTGAGGAGCACAGGGACTGGACTCCTGCTGGGACTCTGAGGAGCACAGGGACTGGCCTCCTGCTGGGACTCTGAGGAGCACAGGGACTGGCCTCCTGCTGGGACTCTGAGGAGCACAGGGACTGGCCTCCTGCTGGGACTCTGAGGAGCACAGGGACTGGCCTCCTGCTGGGACTCTGAGGAGCACAGGGACTGGACTCCTGCTGGGACTCTGAGGAGCACGAGGACTGGACTCCTGCTGGGACTCTGAGGAGCACAGGGACTGGACTCCTGCTGGGACTCTGAGGAGCACAGGGACTGGACTCCTGCTGGGACTCTGAGGAGCACAGGGACTGGACTCCTGTTAGTGCCCAGAGTCAGAACTAAACATGGGGAGGCTGCTTTTCAGATTCATGCTGCTAAAATCTGGAACAAGTCTTCCTGAAGATGTGAGACAGGCCTCCTCTCTGACAATGTTTAAAACCAGGTTATAAACCGTTTTGTTTAGCTGTGCTACAACTGAGGGATTTTATATTTTTATCTTTCTTTTTAATGTACTGTGATTATTTATGATTTTAATGCCATTTTGTCTTGTTCAGCACTTTGAATTGCCTTGTGTATAAATTGTGCTATACAAATAAACTTGCCTTGCCTATTACATTGTCTCTATCCTTGTTCTTTTTTTTGCAGAAACATCATATTTTTGTGGGTGTAGGAATGTTGGTGTTTACAATAACGGCTCAAAAGCAACAGACATAACAGCACAGCATTACTTGAAAAATAATAATAGCAAAAATCAGAACACTTCTTGGCCAAAATGTGCGTTTAATTTCAACATTTAGCATATATTGTAATGCTTGTAAGTTAAACTGATTATTGCCCATGTGGCAGAGCAGAATAATGTCATACAGTAGTTTTGCTTCAGCCTCGTTCAATTACACAAGGTCCACACATGAGATTCAATTACCACTTTCAATGTATCTGAGGGTAGTTTCACTGAATAGAAAACCTGAGAACATAACGAAAACTTGGGGGCCACACGAAAATCAAACTCCTTGCACTTGGTTATTGTGCCTTAAAAAGTTCAGGTCCAACTCTGCAATGTATGGTTAAAGACTTTGGCCCATTATTCCTAACGTGGCCTGTAGGAGGCTGTCGGCTTTGTGTTAAAAGATCTGACGTGTCCAGTGAAGCTTTTTGGAGTTTGGAGTGTGTCCTCGCTCCTGAAGGACATGGTTGTGTTGTTTCTTCTGGTGGATGGCTTTGTCAAAGCAGAGCTCAGATTGGTCTGGTTTGGTCTGAAATTTACCCACTGTGGGACAAATAAAGGATCTCCTAATCTTCATATCTTCAATCAACCATATCAAATCAACCATATCAAAGTTTTAAGCAAATACAATGTATATCAAGTTACAGCTGTGCATTGAGAGACGTTGCTGATGTGATCTTAAGACAGAGCAGTAGTCAGATTATTGTATTCATAAAATACAAGGCTGCACAGATTCACAAATAGAAGTAAAGGACGTCCTTCTTGACCCTGCTCTCGGTCAAGCCCAGGTTAATTTGTGTGATCACATGCAGGGCAACACTTTGTCACTTTTCGTCCTTACTGAGTGGTCATTCGGGAACTGCCTTTATCCTCTGCACCACTGCCCGAACTAACCATAGTCATTTGTTTTAACCTAGAACTAGACAGTGGTTAACATCAGTAACCGTTCAAAGAGTTGAGACAAACTTTCAGACTGGAATATCTCCTGTGGTCACTATCCCACTTTCTTTTAACCTAATAATCACTTCAATTCTACCACCACCAAGTTCATCATCAAATTATCTTCTGTCTAGACATCTTACAATATTTCTGCAGGTGTCTCATCATCATTTCATGCTTAATCTGCGACAGTTGCGTAAAAGAGACCATTTAACTCACTGATGAAAGAAAGGCTCCTCAGACTGTCTCACTCTTTATGAGTTCGATCGGCACGACATTTTGTCGTGCCTTTAGGTATAATGAAGGTCAGAGGGTCTTTCATATAAAGCAAATAAACTTCATGAGTGGGACAGTGTGTGGGAGTCCATCAGTTTATGTTCCAAACTGCAATAAGTAATCTCTTCCCATAGTAAATGTCTGTCTGTGTTGATTCATGCAGTTACCAATAAACTTTATGCAAACGTAATTCTGTAAACATCATCCTAATACGTCCTTGGTCTAAGTCTTTCCGGATTAACATTCTTTTAAGCACTGGGGTAAATACAATGACTGCATCAAAAACTTCCATTACAAACTTACCATTCAATATAGTATTTTTGCCTAAGAGAATATATTATCTCTTTGTGGTTACAAAGTATTGCAACAGCTCACTTCCTCTTTGTGCAGACAACAATACAAAAGTGGGGCAGCTATAATGCTAATTAGCAATCGTTTGACAGGCCACAGGCGTCACAGTGTTGTAAACAAGTCTGCTAGAGCTACGCTGATAGAGTGCTGTGTTTGTGTATTGTCCCAGGGAAGTTCTAAAATAGAATGTGCGGCACATTCAAGTCAAAATCAGTTGCTAAATTACATTTTTATCCTGATTGTATAAAAACATCGTCATTTAAAAACAAGGTTGTCCAGATCTGAATTGACAGTCACAGTATCAAGTTGCAATTGAAGCGAAATAAGAATAAAAACATTTGTTTAGTAGATATGAAGCTTTTAGTGACAATACCTGTTCATAGACAATTCAATATTTAGATGATTTACACGATTCAATGTTGATGTGCATTGTACAAGTTGCAATGACTGTCAATAGTCTGTAGGACTCTCACTCAGTTTGCCAGATTTGCAGCCGATTCCAGCTGGGACAATAATAGCTTAACAACAAATCTACCAACCCTCAACTAATACTTTGTACACAGAAATTAGGCTATTTTCAGGTATAAATACATCATGTCTTCGTACAATATCACAATAAATGCCCATCGAATGGTTAGCGTCAGTGCTATCTGTAAACTAGACTAAAACTAACTACAACCAACGCTAGCAATGGTTATACATTTTACCTAGGTATACCTACAGGCAATGAGTTAGGGTTAGGGTTAGGGTTAGCTGGGCTTCTGGCAGCAGACATCAGTTGGAGATTTAGGGAGTCACATTTGTAAAATACATAAAAAGTGCGTTTTTCTGAATCAGAGATTGCTCTGCCGTTTTTCTTACTTGAGATACTAGAAACACATCTTGAAGCAGCTAATTTGCATGAGAATGAATACTAATATTGATTATTATACTATGCTTGTATCCTTATTGCTATAGCAACAGCTTTAAGCTTTAAGACTAAGGCAGGATATTTTTCTGTTTGCAAGGGAGCCATTCGAATTTGTCACCACAAGTTTAACCGCCGCACAAACGTATCTTCCACACTTCCCAACCAATTATGCTGCGATCTATTGTCACATTCAGCACTGACCTTTCTTGTCCCCAAAGAAGAGTGTCTGCTGTGCAGGGTTGGACCACTGGAGGGAGGTGTTGTCGTTGAAGTCCACACGGCAGGTCATGTTGGCCGCGCTGCCCTCCACCACCGTGACGTTCTGGGTGATGGGGAACTGGCCCTGGCTACCTGTGGGTAGGGGAAGGAGAGAGAGGTAAGTTATGGATCCGACGAACATATGTGCCGCCATCGTTACTGCAGATTACATCAGTGAGTGTAAGCGCCAGAGGGCCGGGGAGAAGTGCTGTGTCAAGGTGACGCTGTGGTTGGAATCAATTTGTCCTGAACAGACTCGAGGTTTCATGCTATATTTTAAAGCAATTGAAGGAAGACTTATTTGATGCTGTTTGACTTTCCTGGAAAGTTCCACAGCCTGGTAATAAATAATCCTTCTAAACTGGAGACTATTGACTTCACCAAGCCAAATTACAACTCATACATACGAAGAGCAGAGCAGAGCTAATGCATGAATTCAGGTTTTTTTAGTAAACTGTGATTGCTGTGGATATTTCCAAGCCAATCTTCATGGAACCTGAGTAATGCACCAATAAACTTTCCATATTTACAACTTCCGTCTGTTTGACGCCAAAGAGTTTCTACTCCTCATTCTCATCAGCGCCGTTGGAGAGCGGTGGGCTGACCAGACTTTATGTCACAAGATTAACCATCATGTGATTCAATAGTCATCCCCACAATCTGACTGCTCTGTTCATGATAAGACCTCAATAAATACTGATGCTCAGCCACCAGACGTGCCTCAAAAGAAGAACCGCCTGGATGTCTGCTCATCGCCAATACTTTCACATTGATTTACTTTATTTGGAAGAAGTAGCCAGGATTGTGCAAAAAATACTGTACAGATTATGCAGAAACATGGTGTGTAGATGGGATGTGATGGTAGGAAAATCCCATTTGGAGGTGACCCATGGTGTTGGTGGTAAAATGTAATCTATTACATAACTCAATAGTCCGGTAAATGATACCACAACATGCAAACAAGTGAAATTGTATTTATGGTAGGTCTTAAAGTGACAGAATTGCTCACATTACATCACATTCATTAGACCCAAGTCATTGTCTCGCACAATAGTTCAATAGGTTGCATTCATAACATATTTCCTGGTAACTAGGATAACTTTTCCCGCTGGGTTTTGGAGTTTTTCATTGCCGATGCAGGAGGGTCTGTTAGACTGTCAGTGGGCCTAACAAAAAGGACTGTGGTGATAATCCAGGACACTCAACAACTATGGACATTTATCAACACTTATGGACATTGTTCAACCCCCCCCCATAGACCAATACCTATTCCTCGTATTTGAACTGTTTGATTCTCTGATCTGTGTTGCTGAATTCAACAGTTTTGTTAAGTCCTCTGAGATAACTACTGTTGTGATTTAGGGCTATACGAGAATACATTTAATTTAATTGAATAACTGTCAAAAGTGAGAGTTCTGATCTTAGTTTAGAGCCAAACCACAAAAATCGCCAGTGTGAAATTGTAAAAAAAAAAAAAAAACATGTGCAGGCTGGTGGCCCTAAGAGTAATATGGACGGTTTGTAAATCACTGACAAATAATGATCAAGGAAAGCATTTTCTGGGATGGATGGATTCTTTCCCAAAGAACTGTATAGGCAGCTTTCTGGGACATCGCCACATATTCCGTGTTCTGATATGTATGTGTGTCCAAACATGTGTGCTAAACTAGGATAACTTTTCCCGCTGCAAAGCATCACTAATTAACCAATGGAAAGCCCAAGCCTTTGGTGTGGTCCCTAATCAGTTCTAATTAGAACTGGGACCTAATTAGCGGTATGGATGTCTGGATATTGACACATAATCCTGGAGAGCGTATAGGTACAGTACAGATTCATGCCACCGCTGTGACCCTGAAAGTCACTTGTCACTGGGCAGTGGACTTCCAGATGAGCCCTAATCACCCAGCCGTGTTGTGGGCTATACCTGCTCACTACGTATTTGTACCGGTCACCAAGTCCTGCTAATTATATGAGCAAAGTGTTCTCTTTGCAAGTGACTGTGCCAGGGCCGGGAACAAAATGATCTTTTGTTAGAGGAACAGGAATAATGAAAAGAGCATTATCAAGGCTACAGTATTAGTTAGAGGCCAAGTTTGACTGTGAAAAATGCGGTGGGTTTTATACTGGCAAAGACGAGTCAACAGTTGTATGTGAGATTGAGAAAGGTGGTGATTTAACATTGTCAAGTGAAAGCAGTAAAAAGTAAGTAGCAGTGTTTAATCGTCCAGAAAAATATTTAACAGGTTGTTGTTTGAATTAATTGGATGATTTGCAAAAAACAGATGTCTCCCTGTTGATAATGTGTGTTCCCCAACTATCTTCAACATGTTTTGTTATTGGCAGTATATTTTAAAGGATTTGCTCAAGAAGAGGTGAAATCTTATTTGTATAGCATGTAGATCATGCAATCAAATGGCAAGGCTTAAGATTCATTTTTGACTCCCACCTATCTGTTTTTGCAGAGTAACTATTAATTTGTTTTGTCGGAATGCAATAAGCCAAGAAAAAGTGTGGAACTAAAGGTTGCTGTAATAGAATAGGTAGCGTACACGTCACTTCTTGTAGATTTTAACGTCCTTTCCAGAGTTACCTTCTCAGACAGACTCATTAATTTCATGTTTGAATTACATGAGTAACATAATGTTCAAACTCGGAATTGAGAGTCACCAGTGTAAGTAGGGCAGTTCATCATTTTATTTATTTCAAACCTGTGTGTACACATTTCACACAAAAATAACACAATGAACAGGCTACAAAATAAACAGTTATAAACAGTTGGGAAAGGGGCAGTAGACACCTATTTGGCTCCAACCCCACTCATTTAATACAACACAGACACTAAGGCTGAGAGCCTCAATATTTTTCCTCCACATACTTCTTAAAGTTCAACTAAACACCAGTGCCCAGCCTTACTTTGCCCACATGAACATTTGAGTATCCTCTTTAAAAAGAGCGTTGCCCGACAGACAAGGGGACAATAAATAAATTGTAAAGCTATACAGTTGAACAACAGAGCGACTAAACACAGAATCAATATTTTTTAACTCATAAACTGCATAAACATGTTTATTGTAGTACATATCCTGGTCCTTTTTAAGACATTTTAGTGCAAATTAGATAAAATCTCACTTTTGAGCCTAAAAACTTCTGTGTGGCGCCCTCTCTGCCTTTTCAGTGGTACTACATTTGAATTTGGTGTGTGTGACGTCAGGTGTGTGTGACGTCAGGTGTGTGTGACGTCAGTTGGTGTGTGTGACGTCAGTTGGTGTGTGTGACGTCAGTTGGTGTGTGTGACGTCAGTTGGTGTGTGTGACGTCAGTTGGTGTGTGTGACGTCAGTTGGTGTGTGTGACGTCAGTTGGTGTGTGTGTGTCAGTTGGTGTGTGTGTGCGTGACGTCAGTTGGTGTTTGTGACGTCAGTTGGTGTTTGTGACGTCAGTTGGTGTGTGTGTCAGTTTGGTGTGTGTGTCAGTTGGTGTGTGTGACGTCAGTTGGTGTGTGTGTGACGTCAGTTGGTGTGTGTGACGTCAGTTGGTGTGTGTGACGTCAGGTGTGACGTCAGTTGGTGTGTGTGTGACGTCAGTTGGTGTGTGTGACGTCAGTTGGTGTGTGTGACGTCAGTTGGTGTGTGTGACGTCAGTTGGTGTGTGTGTGTCAGTTGGTGTGTGTGCGCGTGACGTCAGTTGGTGTTTGTGACGTCAGTTGGTGTGTGTGTCAGTTGGTGTGTGTGACGTCAGTTGGTGTGTGTGTCAGTTGGTGTGTGTGTCAGTTGGTGTGTGTGACGTCAGTTGGTGTGTGTGTGACGTCAGTTGGTGTGTGTGACGTCAGTTGGTGTGTGTGACGTCAGGTGTGACGTCAGTTGGTGTGTGTGTGACGTCAGTTGGTGTGTGTGACGTCAGTTGGTGTGTGTGATGTCAGTTGGTGTGTGTGACGTCAGGTGTGACGTCAGTTGGTGTGTGTGTGACGTCAGTTGGTGTGTGTGACGTCAGTTGGTGTGTGTGACGTCAGTTGGT